ATAAGTCAGTTAATTACCTCGAATGTCGGGCTTTATGCTATATAAAGCCCTCGAACGCTTCGCGTTCTCGGGGCTGTATATAGCATAAAGCCCTCCTTCTCGGTAATTAACTAGTCTTACATATATCATGTCCATATGATAATGTGCTATACTTTAAACTGATATATAACATTCGATGTTGTATAAATCCAATGTCTCGAGCGATAAATTGTGCTACCTGCCACCATATGCTAATTAGTCAACTCCGTTTATTGTAGTTACATTTTTTAACATAACAGCTGTTTTGCATAATTTGCCTCTCGCAGTCACAGACACAGGTGTTTTGTCAGGTAGATTTGCACTATTGTTGTCTTTGAACAAATTATCATGTCCTAAATTCTTAAAATCTTGAAACCTCGGCCTCTATGCATGGCGAAAGCACGATATGGATAAATGGATTTGAATACAATATTTAATTATATTCCGACACGCCGTAGTTACGCTTGCAAACGTCTCTGTTTTGGTTTTCCGTAAAAAAGCGATTTATAATTCACGAATTCCTATGAGTTCACCTATTTCGTATTTTATTCGCCTGTCTAATCCAATCGAGAAGCAAACCCAGAATCGTTCCCACCCATCAGGGTAAGGGGTTAGATGGGTTAGTTGCATGCCTCCAGTTAGGAGAATTAGAGTGGGGTGTGGGCCAGGTTATCAATGTACATGTTTGTATGATGATATACATGCATCATACACCTGCATGATGATATGGATCATAGATTCAAGCTGATCAACATCATATAATTATGCATCATAGATTTAAGCTGACCGTTCGACAGTTTGTCAATTAAGAGTGCTCCTGCTTTCAGGCCTTGTGATTGCCCAATAACGTTGCTGTTACATGCGAACGTATTCGCAACGCAATGTGTTGCTGAATGAACAAAAGTTTATGTGAATCGTTCCGGCATTACGTCGCTTGCATTTGTTGGATAAGGCTAATAATTTTAAAACAAATACCTACTTCCCTATTGCATGCGTTTATAAAGCTGAACTTTCCAACGGAATCACCTGTTATGCCAATATTTATTTCAACATCTCTCCATGCCTCCAATTTTGCTTTACAAATGTTTTCTATTCCAGACACGCCATGTTGTTCAACATGTTTGGATACTTTTTATGTACATATTCTCCGTCGTAGTAAAACAAGACGAGTTCCCGCTGGTTTTAAATCTTCTAAAACCTTTGGCTCTAATAAAACCTACTTAGACCAAGTCAAACTTGTGATTTAAAGGACGCCATAAATTAATTAGGATAAACTTAATCCACGAGTTACAGGTATAAAAGTTGGGAGAACTTGAGCGTAAATCAGTGTAATATTTTCAATAATCGGGTAATTATATGGTCTTCAACCTACTTCGAGGCAAACACTACTTAGTGGAAACATGAAAACGTGTTTTATTGTTGTTTTATAAATTAAATAATTACAAAATTATAATAAGGAATAGACTCATTCTAAACAGAAGCATGTTTTATAATATGTTATTGATCGAAATTCTCTTTACTTTTCATTATTTACCAAAATTCTTTATTATTATCTTCATATTTTCTTAACAGTTCTTCATGTTGCACTTTTGGCTTGGGCTTTCTCTTTTGTATACGTTCTGATAATGAAAAATTATTTAAACAAACATAAAACCTCATCAACTTCTGAAGCGAGTGCATGACGCTATTCAGTTATTTCCCTACCGCAGCTGTTGATGAAAGCGTGGCAGCCATGTCAGCCAATCAAATCGCATACATATATACTGTAAAAATGATTTTGCATAATAATACAGATTCCCAGTAAATAGTTTTCCAAGTAAAAGACCGGTGGCATGCAGCGGGTTTAAACAAACACATGATGGCTTGTAATTTCACAATATAAAATTTATAGGTTTCACTATTCTTGATGTAGATGCAGTACCTTCCTACAGCGTTCTGCGGAGCCAAGCTTGATTAGATCATGCAAAGATAGAGACAGACTATTTCATTTTTATTTCGAGGCAAAATACATTTTCGAGAAATTAATGTCACTGACTTTACAGTAATTATTATAAGCCGGTTACAGACGAGTACGTTTCTATCACAAGTTTCATATGCGGCAATTGTTTCATTTGCTGGTCTGTATGGAGTACATTACCAAGTTTTTCGATGACATATACACCTGTTCAAAAGCTAGCATGCTCCTGCTAGCTTTTGAGAAAGTGTACTTGTCATATATATAACAAATCAGCCAAGTTTATGCTGATTGTCAACAAAGAAAATTTGGCAAAGTAATTTGAGCACTTGTGTGCAGTTGGTCAGAGATCTATTTTTAGTAAAAGCTATCGTGGCAGCCAGAAAAAACCAAAATCTTGTTACAGGAAATTTGTTGTACGTAAACACGTGAAGTTGGCAATTCATTTAAAACTTGCAATAGACAACGTGCTCGTCTTAACGGCTTTTAGTATCCAGGCGCAGTTTATTTTTTGAATATTTTTTACTCAGCTATTACCCAGTCACGAAGATTTGTCTGCAGCAAATGTCCTGACTTGAACTAATCATTATTCTCAACTGTATGGCTTTCTATGGCGCATATTCGTAACTTCGTTGCTCATTTCAACATTACAACTACTAAAAAACAATGAGTAATAATAAACCTAAAGATTGTTTCCCTATGACAAGAGAGGGTCCTGAAGGGGTAAAATGGGAACTGGGATTTGCTTATTTTTGGGTGGGAAAATGGGATTTCATGCACTGGGACTGGGATTCATCAGCAAAAACAATAGAAAATGGGAATGGGATTAAGATTTGAGCAGGACAGCCACTGAGATGATGGGATTTGTGCTCTGGGACAATGGGATTTAGTCAAAATTTGGGCTGGGAAATGGGATTACGACCCCCCCTTCAGGACCCTCACAAGACTGTCCTGACTTTAACTATAGTCATTATTCTCAACTGTATGGCTTTGTATGGCACATATTCGTCACTCATTTCAACACTACAACTACTAAAAACAAGGAGTAATAAAAACCCTACTGGCCCTACTGTCCAAACAATAACAAACAAGACTGTCCAAAATTTAACTAGTCGTTCTTCTCAACTGTATGGCTTTGTATGGCACGCATTCGTTACGCAACATTACATGTACAACTACTAAAAAACAAGGAGTAATAAACATAGAGATTATAAATAACACTAGAGGAGGCATTGTAATCTTAATTCAGTAAAAAAAAGGGAACGCGACTATTGGGGGGCAAATTCAAGTCCCGGCTGTGTATTCGTGTTCCCATTGGTGACGAGTTTCAAATCAGCCAATGAGAGCACGATTTTATATCCGGGACTTGAATTTGCCCCCCATTAGCTGCGTTCCCAATTTTTAAACTCGATGCCTCCTCTAGTGTTATTTATAATCTCTATGCATAGGAGCTAATATGGCGTGCGAAGGAAAACAGTGTTTTACCTAAATCTATTATTTGGTAATTTTCTATATTTTGATAATTAAAGTGAGTTGAAACCTGTTTTTCGCCTCATTTACTGGCAATCCCAGTACAGTAAAACACTAACGTTCGCTGTGGCATTCCAGAATTGTGAAGAAGCCTAAATACAAAGGAGTTTTGCAGCCCAAAACTTGTGTATTGCTTGAAGACAAATCCAGGAATCAGCCATGAATGTTGAAGATAAAAAACAAGAAAGAAGCAAGGCTAAAATGGCGGTCGCTGTCGCTGCGAGGCGTCTGATTGGAGCCTACAACAGAGATTGTGAATATGATATTTTAAAGGATTCAATGTTCGAACTTGAAAAGGTATTTGATGATTTTTGCGTTATAAATGAGGAATACGAACTCATTGTATCTGACGAAAAATACGCAATGTAAAAAGGTGCTATGAAGAAGCTAGGAGTGTATTTGTTAGTGTAAAGACAACAATCGAACAAAAAGCTAGACAACAAAGTGCTGGGCCTGTCAAAGTTGCCCTAAAGAATGACATTTGTAGAATTCATGAACTAATCACTGTCGTTGATGAGAGTTTTAAACTGGAAAATGTGAATATGGCAGCTTTACAACTAGATAAGAATGATCTACAGTCAATTTTGAACATAATATGTGATAACATGGCAAAACTTGGCTCGATTGAAACACAAGAGCAAGTTAACCTAATTCAAGAAGAAGTCGATGCTATTATCAGAGCAGTTTACAATTGCATCAGAAAGATAAACTTGTTTTTGCATGAGCAACAAGCATTTGTTAAATCATTACACATTGAAACTGCCACTCTCCCCTCTGAAACCAACACCCCCCTGAGAACATCAACACCGTATCCCCCCCGGAGATCAACACCAACATCCCCCCTGAGGACACTGAGACCATCAACACCATGTCTCCCCCCGGAAATCAACACCAACACCCCCCTGAGAACACTGAGACCATCAACACCATGTCTCCCCCCGGAAATCAACACCAACACACCCCTGAGAACACTGAGACCATCAACACCATGTCTCCCCCCGGAAATCAACACCAACACCCCCCTGAGACCATCAACACCAACACCCCCCCGGATATCAACACCAACACCCCCCCTGAGGACACGGATACCATTAACACCATGTCCCCCCCAGAAACCAACACCCCCCCTGAGACCATCAGCACCACTTCCCCCTCGGTAATCAACACCAATATCCCCCCTGAGCCCATTTACACTGCAACCCACCCTGAAATTATTGACACCCCTGCTATCGAGACCAACACAATTCCACCTATGTTGCCAATTAACGCTCCCCCCATTAATTACTCCAGTCCCTTTGGCACCCAAGTTACCACCAACATTACAAAGGCCAACACCCCCCTACCAACCTTACCTGGGACCAGTACGGGTTTTTGCTTGAATACATCAGCTCAAACCTTCATTCCCTCTACCACCTTTCATTCGGATGAAAGACCTATCGGAACCCTCCCGAGCGCTGATTCCGAATTAAACATCCTTACTCCCAACAGCTTGTTACTGGGCAGAGCAACGGCGAAGAATCCTGGTGGATGGCAGCCTAACGGTAATAATCCAGGAAAGCGTTATCATGTTGTCCAGATCGTGACAGACGAGTTCTGGAAGAAATGGACGGAGTTATACGCCCCAGCCTTGGTTATTCGTCGCAAGTGGAATACAGCCAACCGTAACCTGCGCCCAGGAGATGTTG